CAGAGTGATCTCCACAGAGTGTGAGGGGACAGCCAGAGTGATCACCACAGAGTGTGAGGGGGACAAGCAGAGTGAGCACCACAGAGGGGAGAGGGTGACAACCAAAGTGATCTCCACAGAGTGTGAGGGGGACAAGCAGAGTGAGCACCACAGAGGGGAGAGGGTGACAACCAGAGTGATCTCCACAGAGGGGTGACAGGACAATCAGTGCTCAAAGTTGAGGGAAATGAATATACGCAAGATTCTCTAGGACAATTAGCACCTAAAACTTTGAGATGGGAAAATCTCAGAAAATTTAAAAGTAGAATGGAAGGACTCAAAGAGAAAAATATGTATATGCTAAAGGAATGAATAGCATTGGTGTGGCCCTGGCTTCAAGAAGAGAGGAAAGACTGTTCAAAGTGGAGATAGAAGGCATTAGCTTTAGAATGGAAGCAAAACCTTTCACTTGAATTAGACTTAGGAATGAGGAGGAAGGACAGACATAAGTGGGGAAACATTAAGTTGACTGTATTTGGAAGATTTGTTTTCTCTGTTAAGGAGCACTCTACTTTTGTGGGTTTAATGTCATTGAGAACTTCTGCTGAAGAAAATAATGGTTATAAATATACAACTTTTATAACTTTATTTCATGTAATATTCATTGTGATTTATCAGAAATACATGATTTTTTTATGTCTTATTTCAGCAAAAAATCAGTTAGAATTCCGTTGTCATATGCTTCGAGGAACAATAGACCCAAAGGAGCCATCTACCTATGAATATGTGAAATTTATAGGAAATTTCAAATCTTTAAACAGTGGTGAGTTAAAATGCTTCTCTTACAAAGCGTTTTAACTTGGTATTTTTCTAAGCTGTTAAAGACGTAGATATTTGAGTATCAGTAACAACAAGGTTTTTCTGGAATAACTGATGACACCTACTTCCTTATTGTTGCAGTATCCACTTCAGCACACAATGGTTTTGAAGGAACTATACGACGCACACATAGGCCTTCGTATGAAGATAGAATTTGTTTTGTAGCTACTGTCAGGTTAGCTACACCTCAGTTTATCAAGGTATGTTTTTAATTTTATTTCCCAAAGAAGATTTCATTTCATGTTATGGGAACTGTATTTATATAATTTCTTGTTGTCTCCAGAAAAACTAAAACTTTCTGTTAACATTGAAGTATTAATGACTAGGAGCCACTGAATGAACATGATCACAATATTTTTGAAAGAATGAATTATTAAAACACACATTAAATTATGTCACTAATTTTTTAATGTATGTCCTTTGCAGTTAACCAGTGGTTATATGTCACTGTTGCCCTATTGTGCAAAATTTTAAGATGCCTTTGTTTATGATTCCCTATCTTCATTAAAGGGGCAAGTCCAAAACTCTAGGTAATTTTTTAAAAGATTGTTTTTGAGATTTTCTTTGACATGTCCGAGTGGCTTTTTACCACATATAATTTACCTTCTCTACTTTAAAATTTAATTAAATAATTTATTTTTATTTCCAGGGCCCAAATAAGCAGATTATATTAGTAGACATGTGGGAAAGTGAAATAGCTCAGCCACTAGAACGTGGCTAGATAGGAGCCAGGCTGAAATTTAAAGTTCAGCACTGAATCAGCAGCTCAGAGACCCTGAACCAGCCTTGTTCTGCATGTTTGGATCTTAGGAATGATAGCAGTGGTTAACATTTGAGTGCTTACTACATACTGTATATTTTACATACATTACCTCATTTAATTTTTTTTTTTTTTTGAGACAGAGTCTCACTTTATCACCCTTGGTAGAGCGCTGTGGCATCATAGCTCACAGCAACCTCAAACTCTTGGGCTCAAAGTGGTTCTCTTGCCTCAGCCTCCCAAGTAGCTGGGACTACAGGCATCTACCACAACACCCAGGTATTTTTAGAGACGAGGTCTCACTTTTCCTCAGGCTGGTCTCGAACCTGTGAGCTCAGGCAATCTACCCCCTCTGCCTCCCAAAGTGCTAGGAGTACAGGAATGAGCCACTGCGCCCAGCTTATCTCATTTAATTTTTATAACAACCCAATGAGGCAGATGCTATTATGATCCCCATTTTGTATTATAAGGAAATCGAGGTTTAGGGAAGTTAAGTTAGTTGCCCAGAGTTTCAGCTTTTTGTGATAGAACTGGGACTTGGTTCTAATTCTTTTCCTTTCAAGGTCCTAGCACATGCTACATTGTGCTGCAGATGGGCATTGGAGGGAGAGGGGCAGGTTGTGATGCATTGTTCAGTATGACTAGATTCTGGGGTTACCATGTGTGTGGAGGGGTAAGGAGAATGGAAGGCAGACAGAAGCCAGAAGTGAAATTTGTTTCTTTCTTTGTTGTCTCCTTGATGGTGCAGAGACTCTAGCATGAAGAACCATTTTTAAGCAGGGAAGTTATGTAATCATATTTGAGTATTGCTAAGGGAAATTGTGGACCCAGAAGACAAGATTAATTAAGGACGAGGAGTCTGGTGAACGCTATAGCAGCAATGGGGATCAGTGATGCCAAGGTCCAGTCTGAGGCACTGAAGATGGTGGGATAGAATAGATCTTTTAAATATATAGAAAGTAAAATTGCAAGGATTTGGTAGTGGCTGCTTAGGTGGTAAAAGATAAAAACAAGAGTGTTATGACTGTCAGATTTCTGTGCTATTAATGAGATGGGAAATTGTGTAACTGGATACAAAGAGTGAGGCAGTTAGTTCATTTTAAGACATACTGAGTTTGAGATGTGTGGGGATATCTCAGCCATTAGAAATATGGAACTGTGAGAGGTCTGAATTCAGAATTAGGGTTTAAAGGCATGTGGGTGAATGGAAAATGTAGTGTGAGAAGTACTTAGACTAGAAGCCTGCATCCAGGGATTCTGTGTTGCCACATCCTTTGGTACTAGAAAATTTAAATGCGTTTAAAAATTGGGGGGAAAAGTTACCTGATAATGACTTTTATGTCTAACAATATTTTGTCTTCTAAGAATACAGGAGAGTATTTCTAAATTGAACTGTTGATTTCTCTGTAGGAAATGTGCACTGTTGAAGAGCCCAATGAGGAGTTCACATCTAGACATAGTTTAGAGTGGAAGTTTCTATTTCTAGATCACAGGTAACTAACTCCATTTTTAAATTCCATAAAAAGTAATTGTCATATGATTCTTTGAAAATAATGGACTTAAAAGACAAACTTTTTCTGATCAAGACTTTGAAATCTATTACCCATTTTTAAAAACATAAAACCACTCATTTGATTTCTAGTTGGAGTATTTATTATGGAAAAACTTATAATACTTATTGTTTTATGTGAATGTAGGGCACCACCCATAATAGGATATTTGCCATTTGAAGTTCTGGGAACGTCAGGCTATGATTACTATCATGTGGATGACCTAGAAAATTTGGCAAAATGTCATGAACACTGTAAGTAGATTTTAATATTTCTGGTGATAACAACTATTTTTAAATCATATGAACAGAAACTGTTCTATTAATGGAAATTGATAAAATAAAGATTTATAATCATTCTTATAGTTTTGGAAAGTATTAGAAGATTTTGTATTATGTATATAACCAATCTGGTAGTGATCATAGATCAAGTTTAAATTAAATGTATTCCTATTTTGCGTATTTGAGTTTATAATAGTGAGTACAGTTTTATAAAATGGCATCTAATATACCTTGTCCTGAAATGTATAAGGTCTACATTTGAAGAGAAGATGCCTTTGGAAAATGATAAAAGTATATCAAACTTTTAGAATACTATTTCATAAGTTTTGATTTGTAGACATGCAAGTCTTTCTAGGAGCTGGGCACACATATGGAACCATCTGTCTTAGAAAGCTCATAGTGAGCGCTCAGTATTACCTGCTGTTTATTATTACTGTTGGAAGCAGGAGCGTTACCAGTTCATCATGCCAGGAACTGTCCTACACACTTTACGTATATTATTTCCATTGTTCAGTGTTATCATCTTCATGAGTAGATGAGACACAGTAAGGCTTAATCCCATGGCTTGCTGGTGGTAGTGACGGGATTAGATTCTAGGCCTATGCTTTCACCACATCTGTTCATTATTTGTTTTAGAGATTTATTTTGACAATAGGTTTTATTTGTTTGTCCCCACAAATCCTATCCTCTTGAGTGTTCGCTAAAGCCTAATTAGATATTTAAGACACTTTCATGATATCTTTTACTGCTTTAATAAACGTCTCTATAAAAATAAATGAATGTTGTATGATACTACCTATATAGAAAAATTTCAGAGTAAAGTTATTTCAGTGCAAAAGAAAACATTATTCACTCTTAAGTGATGAGGACACTAAGTACCATGATGTCACAAAAAGACCTCGCACTTCTGTTAACAAGCTGAGTAACTTTGAACAACAAGTTAATGTGTGTAGACCTTGGTTTCCTCATTGAGAGAGAGAGAGAGAGAGAGTGAGACAGAGAGATGGCTGACTGGCATTTCCTAAAGTTTTCCACTGAATGACAACCCATTAAAAAAAGGACTAGAAAACATCTTTTAAAGAATTTTCACATGCATTAGCACACTCAAGATTTTGAGAAGAGTAAAAGCACCTATTTAACAAAAAATTTCCCATATTAATTTAACTACAAAGCCTATTTTTAACTTCAAATCTGTTAAAAGGCTTTAGAAGTTAGAATCTGTCCCACATATTTTGGGAACTAGTGCACTTAACAGTTATTTTAAATAATGAAGGTATTCTGATTTTGGTTAGTTAAGGTTTAAAATTAAATGCCTCAAAGATGCTATACCTGATAGAGTATCTATCAGGCAAAAAAAATGCAGGTGTGGAGCCAAAGTGAAGTCAGCAATGTTAATTTGTGAGTACTTAGAATTTTATTGTGTATGAAAAGTATCAAAGATCAGCAATGTCTGGCTGTAAGTTAGGCACCATGGAAGTTTGCTTGGGACCATCAGCTAGCACTGAAGAACAGCATTTTCTTATCACTGATACACATGTTGTTGAAAAGCCAGAAAGTGAATTATATGTGTAGAGTTAAATGTAAATGATAGCTTTTTGTTAAAAACCAGATTCTTGGCCTTCTTTTCCCGGTTCTTCCCAGAGTTGGGAAAAGCTGGGTTGAGAGGGTGAAAAAGGATGAGGGGAGCAGTCAGAGTTATGCTGTGGTGGGGCGTTTAGGGTCTTAGACCTAGGAGGGGGTTGGGAACGCTGAACTCAGGGTCAGAAGCTTGGGGAGCCGCGAGGCTGCAATATGAGGACTTGCTGCAGCGGAGCCCCTGGGAGTACTGGGGTTATGGCTCATGGTGAGGAGAGGGGCAGAGAGCCAGACCTAAACTCAGAATCCAGGAGGGCTTGGGCTAGGCCAAGCCCTGGCCACAGGCTCTCCATAGTGACCTTGGAGTGGTCACTGTACCTCCGGGCAGCCGAGCGCGGGATCACCTTCCCTGAACTCTTCCTGGCTGGGTCTTGAGTTGGAGCAGTGAAACAGCCCCGAGACAGCTGCTGCAGACCAGCCGATGCCTAATCACACCCACTTTGAGCTCAGGATGATGCAGGCCCTTGTGGAGCACTCTTGGTCAAAACCTGCAGGGAGTAAGAAAACAAAGTTTGCTTTACTGCTGTTGAAGGGACTGATTTAAATAACTTTTATTGACTCCAACATTTGCAATTTAATATAAAAGATGTCCTTTAATGTTATCCAGACATCCCCTCCAAAACTATATTAAAATCATGTTAACAAAAAAACCCAGATTCTTCATAATTAATAATATGGATAAAAGAATATTTTTCCTCTTTCCTTTTTAGTAATGCAGTATGGGAAAGGCAAATCATGTTATTATAGGTTCCTGACCAAAGGGCAACAGTGGATTTGGCTTCAAACTCATTATTATATCACTTACCATCAGTGGAATTCACGGCCAGAGTTTATTGTTTGTACTCACACTGTAGTAAGGTAATAATTCTTTTTTTGTTTTTTTGTTTTGTTTTGTTTTGAGACAGCGTCTCACTATGGTGCCCTCAGTAGAGTGCTGTGGTGTCACAGCTCACAGCAACCTCAAACTCTTGGACTTAAGCAATTCTCTTGCCTCTGTCTCCTGAGTAGGTGGGACTACAGGCGTCTGCCACAATGCCCAGCTATTTTTTGGTTGTAGTTGCCATTGGTTGTTTGGCAGACCTGGGCTGGGTTCAAACCTACCAGCTCCAGTGTATGTGGCTGGCACCCTAGCCACTGAGCTACAGGTGCCAAGCCTGTAGTAAGGTAATAATTCTTTTAAAGAATTTCTGAATTATGGTAACATCCTATGATAATTTTGGCAATGTAATTCTTATGCATGACTTGTTAGTGAACTACAAAGTGATCTTTTACTGAATTTTAATGTATCCTTTTGATGTTTAATTATTTTTAGTTACAGGTATTATGGTATATAGAAATATAATGTAGGTATGATATAGATATATAATGCTTGACATAAATTTTGTGCCTTGTAGCAGAAGTTATAATTGTCATTTATGTACCAGAGTCAATCATGTAAAAGGAAGACTGTACATGGATAAGCATATTCTTCCTTTATTTAGTTCCTCTTGATTTAAGTTCTCTGTAGTTATGGATTATTTACAGTAGTATATAAAACTAGAAGATACTTAGAGAAAATCCAAACTGAATTAAGACAGTATATTTTAGGCTTGTCTAGCACATAGAAAATAGTCTAGAATTAGTATGAATGAGTGAGGCATATAACAAATGCTGAGTGGTTGTGACTTTGCAGTACTTTGACTGAACACTACAATTTGATTTTTTTCCTTTTGTAGTTATGCAGAAGTTAGGGCTGAAAGACGACGAGAACTTGGCATTGAAGAGTCTCTTCCTGAGACAGCTGCTGACAAAGTATGTTTCCTATAGTTTTAAAAAAATTATTTATTTCTTCCCAGTGGAAAACAAGACTCAGTAATTAATAGGAAAATTATTTTTCAAGTCTTTCATTTTCTCACTTATGACAAGGATATGATTATACTTTACTATTTATTTTTATTTTTAATTTCATGTTTTAAAATCTCATATACTTCTAAAAACAGTTTGAAGGTCCTGCCATTTAGTAATAAGTGGCTGAGAAACATATCTAATCTTAGATCAAAACTACCATTTATTAATAGCCAACAATGTACTAAGCACTGGCTGGGTTTTTTTTATATGAATTATGAAGTATGATTTACTCTTTAGATATCTTTATCTGGTAGGTAATATCACCACTTTTGAAAATACTGAAACTGGCTCGGAGCCCGTAGCACAGTGGTTATGGCACCAGCCACATACACCGAGGGTGGTGGGTTCGAACTTAGCCAGCCAGCTAAACAACTATAACAAAAAAATAGCTGGGTGTTGTTTGCGGGCACCTGTAGCCCCAGCTACTTGTGAGGCTGAGGCAAGAGAATCGCTTAAGCCCCAAGAGTCTGAGGTTGCAGTGAGCTGTGATGCTATGGCACTCTATCAACGCGGATGTAGTGAGACTATGTCTAAAAAAAAAATAGATAGAAAATATTGAAACTGAGCTGGGTGTGGTGGCTCACACCTATAATCCTACCACTTTGAGAGGCCAAGCAGGAGGATTACCTGAGGCCAGGGGTTCAAGACCAGCCTGAGCAAAGGCCAGACTCCATTTCTATAGGAAGTAGAAAAATTAGCTGGGCATGGTTGTGTGTGCCTATGGTCCCAGCTACTCAGGGAGCTGAGGTAGGAGGATTGCTTGAGCCCAGGAATTGAAGGCTGCCGTGAAGTATCATGAGGGCACTGTACTCTAGCTTATGTGACAGAGAGAGACCCTGTCTAAAAAACAACACACACACAAAAAAAACTGAAACTGAGATTTCACAGGAGGATAATACTGTTTCCTAAAGACAAGGGCTGGGAATTTATGCTCAGAATTTGAACTCTTGGGCTTTTTTTGTTGTTTTGTCAGGTAGAAGTATAATGTATTGGTTAACTATTATAATGAACAACTTACTCTAAAACTTCATGATGTAAACCAGCACACATTTCTCGCCACATAGTTTATGTGA